CCGTACATTAGAGAATATGACAAGAGGAGCAAGAAAATCACATGAAATCCGGCTTGAAGGCTGTACAAGATATAAATTAAAGAAAAACACTTAAAAGTGTCCGGGGTAATTGCCGTTTGGCGGTACATTTTAGGAGTGGAAAATTGGTGGCTCTGTGCGAGTAGAGGGCAACTCAGTAAAAATCTCACTTCAAAGATTCCTTAATATTTGGGATCAAAACAACCCTACGTGAAATTCACCTTAGAAAATTAGAAAACACTATCAGACTAAAATGAAGACATTACTTAGACTGTTGAAGGGGGAGCAAACTGTAACAAGACATTAATAGCGATTTTTACAAGACATAAGGGAAGAATTTGTAAACGTCTGAACTACCTGCACTTACCATACGTAATGATCCGATTTAGTGCCTGGTGCACTTATTTACTTTTGGTAACCTCAAGGGGACACCTATTCAAGAGAGGACGCTTATTTGGGACAGGGCGCTTATTTCGTGTTTTTTTCTTTTTTTTTTTTTTGCGAAACAGCCCAATGTTTAAACCAAAACTTTATTAGAAAACNTGAGACACAGCCATATAATAAATTTGATATTAGAAAACAACCCTGAGAAAATATGCGCACTGATTGGTTAAACACCGTGTTTTTATAACTTGATAGAAACACAGAGCTGTTCGCGTAATGATGGCGCAAGCAAAGAGAATTTACATTTTGATGATCAAAGTAAACAAGTTGTTTTCCATTTTTTCGATGATAAGACACAACTTTTGTCAAGGTTCAAAAAAATATGTACATAGGGTTCAGAACCACGTTAAATTTGCAAAAATTTAAGGTGGCTCTGAACCCTACCTACAGGAATTTTTTTGAATTTTGCTAAAGGTTGCATCTTATCATGCTTATCAAAATTTGATAATATAAAAAAATTTCACCGTGCCGTTTCTGAATTATAAGCCCCTAAACCTGTAATTAAGGGTATTTTTAGCAGGTCATACTGTTGTTATGGTAACCTATTGTCACGAAAATGATAACAATTTGTTCACCAATAATTGGACAGATTATTGATACCATAATTGTAGCACTAAGTGACAAGGAGTGGTTATAACAACCCATCAAAATCTAACTGCTGGAAACTGTTTTGAGCCACGTTAAATAGAAACACTCGTGAAAGTTTGGGAGAAATTGAAAAAGCTGTGGAAGCACTCTCCTGTCGGCTCATGTTCCCACAGCATTTCTCGTTCTCCCAAACTTCCACTCGTATTTCTATTAAACAATTAGATTATGAGCTCGAGATTTCTATCACGCATACTCAAGAAATCTTGAGCTCATAATCTAATTGTTTTAGTATAAATCTACTAGTCGCTCAAAACTTTATCTAATTCCTCTTAAGGTCATTCCCCAGTATTGCATTGCACAGCCTTACTTCCTATAATTTCACGCGTGATTAGCACGCGCGCATTAACAAATGGCGGCTTTTTGTTTACAGCTGAACCTCGTCATAGAGGTAAATCGTCATTTTCTCACAAACGAGTATGGTGACCTATCATTTTTTTCTGTTGTTTTGAAT